CCAAATTCTACAAGAAACCCCTTGCCTATTTTCGGTTAATAATGCCACCTTAGAGATAATAGATGGGGTAATTGATTATTCCTACAATTGTATTGATAATGGGGAAGTAGTAGTGATATATCGGTGAAGTGTAGGAGGGACCATAGGAATAATAATCTAATTGGTTGACGGTGGCATTATTACCCCAAAAGGGGCAAGGGGGGTCCTAACTTATAAACCCTAAGCCCTAAAGGGGATCGAAGGAACTCCTTCATGCTTCGCATTCCGATGCATTCCCTATCCATGGCAGACAGGAGGAACATCTGCGGAGGCTCAGGCGAAGCTCCAGGGGCCGAAAAGTGAACTTCAACTTCACGGTTTTGGGGCTCGGGCCTCTTAGGGGCTTCAGTATGGCCTACCCATAGGCCTTAAGTAGTGCCTTTTTATGGTGTATATTTGGAATCCTATAAGGTAATCCCAAAAAGGAACTACTTAGGGGCTTCAGTATGGCCTGAAGTTTAGGGTTAGGCGTCAAGCTTACAAGAGTCCAAAAGACAAGCTAATGTCGTTTGGACTACTCCATCTGCAGCAACATGCAATCGCCCAAAGCGCTTGAATCTTGACCGATACCGCATGCCTGCAAAGCACGCCGTTTAGCATGATGCCACAAGGTAAAAATCGGACTCCAAATCTGCGAAGTGCTTTAGTCGCTTTAGTCCATTGCCGGGGATGGTGGTGAAAGGATGAATCCTGAATAGTCGAGCTTGGCGGAGCCCTTCTAAACCCTAAAACTCTAAACCTTAAACCCAGGGCTTTTGCAACAAAGTCACTGGGGCTTCCCATTCAACCCGGCATCCTAGCACGCCCACTCTTGAGGTATTCAAACGCTTGAAAAAACACCATGCAATTATACCTCCAACCCTAAGCCTAGTAAAACCTACACGAACCCACATCTAACACCGCTGTAGACCCCATTGTTGAAGCCTCTGGTAAACTCCTCTAAACCCTGAACCCTGAACTCCCCAAACCCTAAACTCTACGCTCCAAAAAACCCTGAACCGACCCACCTCTTTTAGTCGGGAGGCTCCTGCGCCCCTTCCAGGGCAACTTGACAGCGGTCGGTGAAGGACGCTGGCTCCGTAAGGTCCTGGCGTTGAGGGTGTAGGGGTTTTGGGCTCTTCAAGTGCTTAAGGGGTTAAGGTGGGGTTAAGGGATCATGGTGTAGGGCATAACGCAGGGAATTACAACGGTTTGTATATGGTTTTAGGATTGCTGGAGGTCTGGGGCTCTTGAGGCGCAGAGCTTCGCAATTTAATAACTCAGGATTCATGGTTCTCTGCAACGAGGCATAAGGGTTCTATCGGACATTCAAGTTAACCTAAAGGGGGCATACTACCTCAAGGCTTCAGGGTTTGAGTTTTCAGGTGTTGCGTTTTTGGAGCAGTGTTTGGGGTTGTCGGAGCATTTAGTGCCGTCCGGGATGTTACGGCGTTTGGTTCGTTAGGGTTTAGGGCCTAAGCGGTGCTGCGGTTTAGATCTCCTCGGAAGGTTTGGTCATGTATGGACTTTGAGTGCGGTTCCGAGCGCCCGAGGGTCTTTGAAAAGTTTAGGCTCCAGAGTGGGCACAGGGTTTATTGCGCTCGGGACTAGGAAGAAGCAAGAATCCTGAGACCCGAACCCCAAGACCACAAACCCTGAACCTATTTTTGTAAGTAACAGAACACCCTCAGGCCGGAACCCGAAACCCAAAGCCCCGTAAAGCCTAAACCAAGAAGCTTCCCCGCAAGCCCGGAAGCCATCTCCTCGCGAGCAAGGACATCTTTCTCCACGGGAGAGAGGAAACGAAAGAGCACCATCCTGGGTTCCCGGGTTTAGGGTTTAGGGTTTCGGGTTTAGGGTCCCGGCTTCGGCAGGAAAGAGAAGAGAGGATCAAACTTCTTACGGGGCTCCCTGATCCCCCGAAACAGCCAAAAATGACCTAACCCCCCTTGATAAAACCCCTAAACCCTGAAACCCCCTTTGAAACCACAGAGCCCCCTGAAATCCTCCCAACCCACACACCAAAGCAAACAGGATCCCCTGAGGTTCATCCAAGCGTCGTCTCCGAGGGCCCCAGGCGAATGTCGTAGCTCCGAAGAGCACAGGCCTCGGGCTTTCGTGTGGCCCGGGTTTTAGGGGTTTAGGGCTTTA